CTCCCGGTCACCGCAGCCTCGACCTGTTGGGCTCTGGCAATCCTTCTGCCTCAGCCTTCCAGTAGCCGGAATTACAGGCATGCGCTACCACGCCCAGCTGATTTTTTTATTTATTGTAGAGATGAGGTCTCGCTGCCCAGGCCGGTCTCGAACGCGCAGGCTCAGGCAATCCACTCACCTCAGCCTCCCAAAGGCGCAGGATTACAGGCTGAGCCACAGAGCCCGGCTCAAATGGTGTTCTTAATGAAAAGTTTTAAACAATATAAACAAAAATGTTTAGAAAGAAATGTGTAATACTAAAATAGATCTGTAACTATTCCAACTATCAAAATCTTCTTTAATGAAATTGAAGCACAGTGCCTGCAGACATTAGCAATTCACTGAGTTTACTTCACCAAGTGTTTTTGAAGCATTCTGGGCATGAAGGATGACAGTCAAGAGGCCACAGTACTGTCCTGGGACAGAAGCTGAGTGCTACACATGATTCCTAAATGACAGAGATGCTTCTTAGGAAACAGTGGGCTGGATTAGTTTCAACAATAATAAGCTTTACTTGAGGGTCAGTGAGCACAAGATGACCTAATCAGACTGCGAACTCTTGCCAAAGCCTGAAATCAGAAGCACAACAAAGTTCACTCCAAGTTGTCTCATTTCTACCCAGAGAGAACATTTCTAATACTTTTATGTGTATATAGTAAATTTCATGTTTGAACTCCTCTTGTGTTTACTTGATAGTTTAGAGAAATCTGTAAAGATCAGCCTCTCGACTCTTTAGCTTTATCAGTCCACCTGGATGGAACATGAGGTCGACGATGTACCCCTCAAGATGGGGGAGGCCCCCCGTCACTCCTTTCAGAGATTCGTTCATCAGCATCACTTCATTCCACGCTCTGCCGTACTCCCCTCGAACGAGAGAGCAGCCGATGCCGATCTTATCGGCCAGAGCCTGTGGGAGAAAACAAGAGATCAATTAGCCAGGTGTGGTAGCGCGCGCCTGTAGTTCCAGCTACTCGGAAGGCTGAGGCGGAAGGATCGCCAGAGCCCAGCAGGTCGAGGCTGCGGTGGCTGGGAGTGGCCACTGCACTCCATTCTGGGCGACAGAGTGAGACTCCAAATCAAAAAAAAAAAAAAGAGATCAACCAACAGTGATGAGGGAGAGGGTGGACATCCTAGTTGTAAAACTCACCTTGGTTGAGGGTGAAATATACAACTCTTGCAAAGAAATGCTTAGGAAGCTGGAAAAAATAAATGATTGTGATAGGAGCCAATCATATCTGATAAATTCCCTTGTTCCTCAGGATTCTGGAGGCTCAAAATCTCTGTGTTGGTCCCTCCAGGAAGTGACATTTTTCTGGTAGCTACACTGTACCGTATCAGTACAAGATGGAGAGACCTCTGTGAGCTCTCGGCACTAATGAGTCTATCAATCTCACTGTACTTCTGGACTGCTCTCTGGCTAAGAATGCAGTGAGATCGAATGGAGGCAGCAGTTTAGGGGGATCTATTTCTGAGTGCTGTGGAGCAAGAGAGGCAGACTTGTGGGCAAAATTGGTCCTTCTTGGGCTGCTTGCTGCTGCCTCACCAGAGCTCGCTAAAGTTGTCTTTTCGATTTGTTCTCTGATCATTCCTGATTTTAATGTTATTAGAAAAAAGTGTCTCTAAATCTGGAGACTGTACAGTGGTTCACGCCTGTAATCCCAGCACTTTGGGAGATCAAGGCAGAATTGCTTAAGACCAGGAGTTTAAGACCAGTCTGGCCAGAATAGTGAGACCTTACCTCTACAAAAAAAAAAAAAAAAATAGAAAAATTAGCCAGGCATGGAGGCACACCTGTAGTCCCAGTTACTTGGGAGGCTGAGGTGAGAGGATCCCTTGAGTCCAGGAGTCTGAGACTGTAGTGAGCCAAGGTCCTGCCACTGCAGTCCAGCCTGGGCAATAGAATGAGTCCCTGACTTGAGAGAAAGGAAGGAAGGTAGGGTAGGGAAGGGAAAGAGGGAGGCAAGAAGGGAGGGAGAAAGAGAAAGAAAAAGAAAGATGGAAATAAGGAAGAAAAGAAAGAGGAAGGAAGGAAAGAGAAAGAAAGAAAAAAGAAAGAGAGAGAAAGAAAGAGATAAAGAGGAAGAGAGGAATAGGACTAGAAGGGCCTTCCTTGGAGTCCTCCAAAGAAGATCAATATGAAGTGGCAAGAGAGGACAAAAGGAACTAAAAAAGAGTGGTATCCAAAAAAGAGAATGGCCAATGACAATTTTTTTGGCATATTAAGTAAGACAGACAATGAGGAGATCACTATGGTCCTTATTGAGAGGATGGCAGCAAAGGCCAGATGGCAGTGAGTTAGGAGAAAAATGACACGTGTGCCCAAGAGTGACAAGGAGCTGAGATGACTCAGAATTTTGACTGGAAATGATAATTATCTGTAGGAAGAAGCAGATAGGCTTAGGTTCAAATTCCAGCTCTGCCTCTGGTTGACCTTGAATCATTTATTTCTCCAGGTATCTGTGTTCTCACCTTTAAGGCAAGGATAGTAATTTCAGTGTGTGGCATTTTTGAGACTCTTCACAATTATATTTATCAAGTGACTGGCATATAGCTCAAAATGATGGCAGTCTTAGTAATAGGAGTTTATAGTAGTAATCGTAGATATGAGACAAGATTTATATTTTCTCTTTATATATTGCAGACCCAAGCATATTTAGATTTTAAAGGGGAAATAGCTAATAGAGAGAAAGAGAATTTAGACAGGAGAAAAGGAAGAATTGATAGAGCAAGAAATCAAGGGACTAGGACAGGCTGGCACCTAGATTATAAAAAGAGTTAGCTTGGAACTGGAGGTAAGGTACATGTGGAAACAATGAGGTTTATAGGTATTTGGAAGAAGATAGGAATTTTATACGCTCAGTCTAGAGTTTGGATCATTTTCTCAGCTGCTATTATATGACAGACATTGGATACGATGGAGCAAAAGATCACATTCTCTCCTCAACCTGATCCTTCTCTGATGTCCCCAGGGACTAATACCATCATCCCAAAGCCCCTATCCAGAGCCCAGAAATCATTTTGTTCTTCTCATGTGCTCTCTCACACCACACCTAGGCAGTCCCCACCTCCTTTGGGTTATGTCCTCTACTTTCATCCCCTCTTCCACATTTGCACAATGTGGATTTAGTACAGGTCAACCATACTTCTTGCTTAGTTACCTTCTAACTATTCTTTCTGTCTCCCATCTGCCCTTGCTCTAATTCACTCCCCATTCTGTTGCCTGAATGATCTTTCAAAACCAGGCTACTGCCTTTCCCTTGACAACTTTCAGTGGCTCTTCTTAGGTTTTAGGGTCACTGTAGAGACACATGGTACTTCATGATCTGCATCAACCCCTCCTCTTCATCCAGGCAGACTGCACTACCTTCCTCAGATGAACCATTGCCTCTCAAACTTCTGTTACTTTGCATAAGATGTTTGCTCTGTTTAGAATACGCTTGTCTTCCTTTTCTACCTGATGAAACCCTGTGAGGTCTCTCATACTTGGGTTATTTATCACTTCCTTCTCTGAAATCTTCCTTGACATCACCTCAGGATGTGTGTAGGCGTGTGATAAATGTTGAACAAAAGTTTGAATATGTTTCCAATAGTCCGGTGAATATATATGCAGGCATGTGTGTATATGCATGCATATACACATTATATGTACATCATATATAAACTTATATGTCAAATATAAGTAAATATAAATTATAGGAATAATATTATCCAATCAGATGTTTGCAACTAGCTCACTCTAATATAATAAAGACAAAACATTTTTACCTAATGGTAAATAAGGCAAAACATCTTAGATACCTTGAAAAGCAAAGCTCGATGGTAGAAGATTCCTTTTTTGATATGTCCAATTGGTACAACATTGGATTTAAGTTGAAATTTTAGTTCACTTATGTGAAGTTCCCAGCTGAAATCTGGTAGTTTCTCTTTTTGAATCTTACCACCCATTTTTTCTGCCACATACCTGTGTCAATTACATTGAGATCAAATTAATCAAGTTTACTATCACACTCAGGAAACTTTAAGTATAATAATGAGTACAATTATACATGCAAAAACTACGTTCTCTCTGATCTTGTTTGTTTTACTTTTAAAAATATACTTAATATAAGTGGGTTGATGTCATGATTGGTGTACTTAAACTCTCATCTATAAACTGAGATTCTAGCAACATCCTTCAATGCAAAGAAGAAAATGAATGCTCATTTTCCCCAATATTTATAACAACATATAAATCAATTTAATACTAAATATCAATGCAGTTTTAAAATTTTGTCTTACTCTTAAAAAGTATTTTTAAATGTTTTAATCTGAAGTCCAAGAAATTGAATTAACTTATGGCTCTTCTTCCAAGGAATTTAAACTCAGAAACAAGACAAACACACATAATGTTTTCCCACTAGATTCATGAACATTTTCAACTTTTATTTTTTCTTAAAAATTTTGTTTTGGCTGATCCAAAGGCAGTAAGTTAACAGCCAGTTACAGATTGAACTCCTTGTTCTACTCTTTTTTTCCTTCTCACTACTGCACTTGACCAGTACTAAAAACATTTCTTATTTTTTTAATTTAGAGAAAAAGATGGCATTACATAACACTGAATTTAGAGGAGAGAGGAAGAAGAGGAGAAAGAGGCAAAAAGGAAAATAACTAACAGATTGGTGGTTAGAGGATAAATGCAGCATAGTTTGCTTGTGGGTTTCTCCTAATATTAGACTCTCAATGAAAAAGTCAGTAAATACTTGCAAAATCCTCTGTCAACTGAGGCCATCACTTTCTTGGAGTAAAGACCGAATTGCAAATTTTTCTTTTTCTTTCTTTCTTTTTTTTTGAGTTGGAGTCTCACTCCTTCGCACGGGTTGACGTGCAGTGGCACACACACTCACGGCCACCCTAGCATCAACCGACTGGGCTCCAGTGATTCTTCCACCTTAACCTTCCAAGTAGCCAGAACTATAGACACATGCTACCACACCTGGCTATTTTTTATTTTATTGTAGAGACGAGGTCTCGCCAAGTTGCCCGGGCTGGTCTCGAACCCGCAGGCTCAGGCAATATAGGTTGAGCCACAGAGCCTGGCCTGGAATTGCGAATTTTAAAGAAAGAATTCCCTCTTGTTGTACGTGAAACCAAGGGAAGAAGAAAAGTGGTATAAACAAAATAAAACAAAACCAAAAAAATCCTAGGGAAAGTGTTGAAGAGAAAGTTGCTGAACTGACCACAGTTCCACCAACCCAGGATAATCTAAAGAATGCTGAGGAACCAAAGCCATGGGAATAAATCTCTGCATCTCTCTCTAGCGTGGTATGGGCTCAGGTTAAAAAAAATGCAATTATTTGGAAATGATGAAAAGTGTTTCTGATAGGAACGAAGCATGAGGAAACCTAAGAAATGTTCACATGAGCTGAAGCAGAGTTCTGTTTGAGCCATCACTTCTCAAGGACATCAGAGAAACTTCAGTAGCCAAAAATGTTCTCTTCCAGTTCTGACTGACAAGAAATCAATGATCTGGCAGCTGTGTTACTTGCAGTTGTCACGTCCAGGTTGGATGACTGCAACTCCCTGCTATTTGGAGTAGATACAAACTCCCACAGAGACTACAGCTGTTGCAAAAGCCAGCAGCCTACCTAGGTGGTGTCAGTCACGAAGCCTATCCTCCTCTTCTAGTGATTTCTAATCCCTTACAGCTACCAAGTTACCAAGTCAAATTTTCAGGCTTCCTTTAGTGGAATTAGGTTACACTCTCTAATGAAGAGGGTAACTTCACTTCTTTATCCAGAGCCCTGAGCCCACCCACCAAGCAGCCTTCGGTTAGACTGCTCACACCTCCATTTAGAGCAACACGAAACACAAAAGATCAGGTGTATAACAGAAAAATTATGTTGGTTATTTGCATTAGAAAATAGCTTGAGAGTGTACCAAAAATTCAAGGTAGAATTTCTTTAAATTATGAGCATCCCATAATCCTAAGGAATAATTTAATTTTCAGACATCAGGATCACATTTAAAGATGCTTTTAAGGGTTTAGCATTTTTCTATAAGCAATTTCCAGCCCCTACCTCTGATCTTGGCAGAATACAGCCTAAAATACAAATGGATAACTTTTTCAATTCATAGTGCTTTTGCTTCAGAGTCAGAGCTAGGGTGTAAAGTTCAATTTTATTATGGAGTGTGTATCTAAAAATTGGCTGCAATATACATACCACTAAAAACTTTTCAGAAGGTAAAAGCATATATGTATACATAGGAAACTTACCTTGCAAGTGCCTCAATCTGTTCCTTAATATTGGTTATGGGCAGTATTGATTTGGTCACCTCATACACATACGCACAGAAGTCAGGGTCAGAGGGAGGATACCATTCTTTATCAGAGCTTCCTTCACCAGCCAGTTTTGATATTGTCATGAACTCTTCCTCCTCCTTCAATTTTTCCTCTTCTTTTTTGCCTCTTTTCCTTTGAGAGTAAACAGCAGTAATCAAAATCTCAACTTCTGCTAAACAGATGAACAGACACTAACATGCTCTGAGTTACTATGAAGAGCATCACAGAAATAAGATACAGTTGATCCTATAACAACATGAGTCTGAACTGCGTAGGTCTACTTATACAGATTTTTTTTCAGTAAATACAGTTGGCCCTCCATATCCCTGGGTTCTGCACCCACACCTGTTAAACATGGATGGAAAATACAGTATCCACTAAATATGAAACCCAAGCATACAAAGGGCTCATTTTTTGTATAGTCAGATTTCACAAGACCCACTGCCCAACTTGAGTATGTGTAGATTTTGGTATCTGCGGGGTTTCCTGGAAACAATCTTCTGCATATACCTGATGGACAACTGTATTTTATACTGTAATAACCATACATATGTAGTTTTCAAATTTTCATCTTCCATGAAAATGGTAGAGTTTTACAGCATTTATATTATGTAGGAAAAAATTATTTTCAAGAGAACACTACGTGGTTTATATATCTTATGAAGCTCATATACTTGACTTCTGTTCAATTGCCTACCAAGGTGTCTGGCACATATTAGGTATATAATATTTATTGAATTGGAAAAAAATCATAGAGTTTGAGTCAACTATGTCATATCTTACTTCAGTTAAGACCTTCAGTACAAGACCACTATTTTAAAGAAAAATTATCCAAAACATGAAAATAAAGCAAACAAAATAAGAATTGTCTATAATTTTTATGTCACACAGGAGCAAAGACTCATCCAAGGTTTATCTAGGAAAAAGTACTTAGTTCTGAACTTAATAAGAATAAAATTCACCTAGTAAGCAGTAAAAATAGTTTACTATTAATTAAAAGTTTCAGACTTAGTTAACATGTAGATTTTAGTCTAGTAGAGATGCAAGCAATTTCTGTCCAATGGAAAAGATATTCTCAAAGGTTACAGTTTACTGTCCTGTATGATGTTAATGGGTTTGGTATGTAACTCAGCAATCTTTTTCTAATATTCTTTAATTAAATTGGTTATAAATACCTTGAAACTCAAATGTTCTTTGAACTAGTATTAACATATTACTGGTTCCCTCATCAATTAATAAGTCAAGCAAAAAATAATGACATATATTCCCATTCCAGGTAATATGAAGCAAGCACACTTTACCATTAAAGTATCCCATTGAATATAGTCACAAAAACTGAACAGGATGTATGTAACAGCTATTTGAGGACCCTGAAAAGTAAATAGCAGCGGGAAGCTCAGAGAAGAACAAAATTACTACTCTACTGATGATGAGTTTATCCTCTTTTTTTCTTCCACTATTCCCCATATTGGACTAAACTTAGCCCAATAATCGGAAGTGAGCACTGGCACAGAGAGAGCTCACAGAGAAGCCCTCTTGATAAACAAGAGTGGAGGAAAGTTCCTGTTTTTATTTCTTCTTATTCTTCTTCATTCTTATATACCAACTTCTAAGATATCCTGTGACAGTGGTGGCAATGGTGGCACTGGAATTCATAAGAGCTTAAAACTGTTTCATAATCACTCAATCCTCCTGCTATTTGGATGTAGATACGATACAGGTGCAGTCATGGAAAGAATGTATCAGGCAGGATAAATACAATTTTCTGGCTGGAGACCATAAAGGAAAGCCCTTAGGAACCAGAAAAGACAGGGAGATCATGGTAAAGAAAGCACTCAGGAAACCAACTCCATAAAATTGTTTACAAATTGCTAGGCTTACTCTATGCTGGGCATGAGTGGTCTGACCCTAATAGCACATACAATAGACTTTGAAAACTGAACCATAGGATAGACTACCACGCAAGTCCCAAACTGGACATTGGTTGGCATACATGCAGGGGTGATCCAAATAGCACTGCAAAACTTTAAAACCTAAACTGACATTGGAATGACAATCCATAGAAGACTGGATGGAATTTAAAGTCTAAACCCAACTGGATCAATTGCTTGCTAAAACAAAAGGAATATTCTTGGAATGTAATAAGACCCATAGACTTAAAATAATATTACAATCTGAAGTTAGTCAGTATACAAAGAACTAAGCAAATCTCAACTAATATGGGAAATGACAGTAACTAGGCACCATTGTCTAGATGACAGAGATGTTTACCTCACAAAGACTTTTAAAATCTTTCAAGTAAGGTCAAATACTCTTAAAATGAATAGAAAGTTAAAAAGTCTTAGAAATAAATAGAAGACATAAAAATATAACTGAAACTGAAAAGTGCAACAAACAAATTTTAAAAAACCCAACTCCTAGCCGGGCTTGGTGGCTCAGCCTGTAATTCCGCACTTTGGGAGGCTGAGGTGAGTGGATTGCCTGAGCCCGTGGGTTCGAGACCCGCCTGGGCAACTTGGCAGACCTCATCTCTACAATAAATCAAAAAATTAGCCGGGCATGGTAGTGCGCACCTGTAGTTTCAGCTACTCGGAAGGCTGAGGCGGAAGTATCGCTGGAGCCCAGCAGGTCGAAGCTGCGGTGGCCGGGAGCGGCCACTGCACTCCAGTCTGGGTGACAGAGTGAGAATCCAACTCAACAACAAAAAATCCCAACTCCTTAAATAAGTTTAATAGCAGAATGAAGATAACAGATTAACAAATCAATAAACTTGAAAATAGAACAATACAAAATATCCCATCTGAGCAATACATAATCCAAAAAGAATTTTTGAAAAAAAACACTGACAGGTTCTCAGGGACCTGTGATACAATAAAAAAAAAAAAAAGTCTAAGATTGCTGTCCCAGAAGGAGAGAGGAAAAAGTACAGTACAGAAAAATATATTGAATAAATAAGGGCTGAAATGGTTTCCTCATTTGGTTAAAAACCTTGTCAAGAGTTTCAGTGAATGTCAATAGGGTAAATCCAAAGAAATCCACTCCCAGACACATTAAAATCAAACTACTGAAAACGAAACACAAAGCAGATGACATGACTGTCTATGCAAAAAATCCCAAGGAATCCTGCAAAAATAAAACAAAACACTAGAACAAGCGAGTTCATCAAGGTCTCAAAATATAAGATCAACACATGAAAATAAATTGTGCTTCTATATAGTAAAAAAGAACATGTGAAAAAAAATTAAAACCAAAATTTTTTGAAGCCTTTACAATTTCTCCAAAGAAAACAAAGACAAACTTTGCAAAACTTGTTGAATTCCTATGTGATCTGTGCACTGATTATTAAAAGCACTGATGAAAGCAATCAATAATAAACGATGAGACATACTGTGTTCATGGATTTGAAGGTGTAACATATATAAAGATATCAATTATCCCCAAAATGATCTCTAGTTTTACAGCAAATTCTATCAACATCCCAGCAAAGATTTTTCTAGACAGAAAAATCTTGCTCTAGAATTTATAAGGAAAGGCATAGGGGGTAAAATAACTAAATCAATCTTGACAAAGAAAAATAAAGCAGGGAAAATCATTCTTCTTGACATTAAGCTACAGACAGAGCAATACTAGTGAAGGGATAGACATATAGATCAACATAAGGTTAATCTAAGAAAACCGAGTGCCGGGCTCAGTGGCTCTGCTTGTAAGCCCAGCACTTTAGGAGGCCAAGGCGAGTGAATTACCTGAGCCCAGAGGTTCGAGACCAGCCCGGGCAACTTAGTGATACCTCATCTCTACGATAAAATAAAAAATAGCCAGCGGGGTAGCGCGCATCTATAGTTCTGGCTACTCGGAAGGCTAAAGCAGAAGAATCGCTGGAGCCCAGAAGGTTGATGATGGGGTGGCCGTGAACATGCGTGCCACTGTATTCCAGTCTAAAAGATTTATATCCTTCACCAAATTTGGGGAGGTTCCAATCATTATTTATTTGAATACTCTTTCAGTTCCACTCTTTTTTCCTCTTCTTCTGAATCTGCAATGATGTGAATGTTGGATCTTTTGTTATTGTCTCATAGGTCCCTAAGGCTTTATTCTTTTCTTTTTTCAGTTAATTTTCACTCAGTTGTCTAGACTAGTGAATTCTATTGCTTTTTCCTCAAGTTCACTAATTCCATCTTCTATCATCTCCACTTAACTCTGAAGTCCATCCAGTGAGATTTTTGTTATTCTATTTTTCAGTTCGATAACTTCTTGGTTCTTTTTATAACTTCTATTTTTTTGCTAAGATTTTCTATCTTTTCAGTTATTTCAAGAAAATTTATAATAGATCGTTGAAGTACTTTTATGGTGGCTACTCTAAAATCCTTGTCATATAGTTTCACATTTAATTTATCGTAATGTTGGTATCAATTGATTGTCTTTTTTCATTCATTTGACTTTTCTTGGTTCTTGATATAATAGGTCTATTTTGATCATAATCTAACTATGTTGTTTACAATGTTAGGAAATTCTGAGTCTATTTATTATAGCAAGCAGTCATTCTATTTATGTTCTGCAGGCAGGTCCTGGCTTACTTATAGGCTGTGATTCCAATGACAGGTCAATTTTCAGAGCCCTTCAGTGTTTGTATGTTGAGGGGTGGGGAGGAGAGTACCAACTTGGTTTAACTAGTGCTTCTGGGATTCCTGGTGCTGTCTGATGAAACAGAGGGAAATTCCCCATTCTGGAGCTCTCTCTCTGGGAGGGATGGGCATCTCAGGCTTGCGGGACCTAGAGATTTCTTTACATGGGGACTGGACTTGTGGCTGAATCCCCCCAGCCTGTGTAAAATGGATAGCACTTCTGGGTAGGGCACTTCAGGCTGGATTCCTCCTTACTATCATGCCCCACTCCGTGTCTCTTGGTAAGGGCATGTAGTCTCAGATCCATGGGAACAAAGGATCATTCTGTGCTAGCTACTTATTGTGCTTAGGTCCCTCTTGCTAGTTCCATCCACCTGTTCTGTATATTTCAGTGGGAGAGGGGAGTCACAGGTCCACTGGGACAAGGCAGCTTCCCCAGCTGGGCCCCTTTTTAGGCGGGTATGGTCCCCTTTCCTAGTGTCTGTTGGCCACTCCAGTCTCTCTTGGTGG